GTTCAAACTGGCCTTGAACTCACTGTGCAGCCCAGGCTGGCCTTGAACTCATGGCATTCCTCCTGCCTCAGCCTCCCAAGTATTGGACTCACCGGCGTGTGCCACTGCACGCGGCTTTCCTCCATCTCTTGATCCTCTTCCCACTTAAACAAAATCTCTCTATCTACTTCCTATTATCTGTCTTTTATTTTGCTCCTTATTTACAGTTTGAGCTTCTCATATAAGAGAAACCATGTGGTATCTAAGCTTGTGTGTCTGGTTTATTTCATTTATCATGAGGGTCTCAAGGTGCATCCATTTTCCTGCAGATGACTCAAGTTTACCCTTCTTTATGGCAGAGTAGCGTAGTGCTCCACTGTGTATAAATACCACATTCTTTATCCATTCATCTGCTGATGGACACGCAGGCTGCTTCCCAGACTGTGCTTTTACCAGTTGTGCTGCTAGAAACACGGGTCTGTATACGTCACTGTAATATGATGTCCGACTCTTCTGGGAAGGTACTTAGAAGGGGAAGAGCCGAGTCAAATGGAATTTCTAGTTTTAGTTTTTTGAGGAATCGCCACACTGATTTCCAGAGCAGCTGCACTAGTTTACCGTCCCTCCGACAATGCAGCAGGGTCCCTTTTTCCCCAAGGCCTTGCTAGCACTTGTTATTATTTGATCTCCGGATGATAGCTGTTCTTTCTGGACTGAGGTGGAATCTCAGTATTGTTTTTATTTTCATCTCTTAGAGATGGCATTAGATGGCCAGTGATGCCGAACACTTTTTCATGTATTTATTGGCTACTTGTACTTCTTCTTCTGAGCAGTCTCTACTCTCAGTTGCCCATTTTTGACTGGGTCTTTTATTGGGAGCGATCTAATTTTTTTGAGTTCTTTATATATTCTAGATCTTAGTGCTCTATCAAGGAATAGCTGGCAAAAAAAGTTTTCCCCATTCTGCAGGTTTGTCTCTTCATTCTGTGGACTGTTTCCTTGGTGTGCAAACGCTTCTTAATGTGATGGGATCTCATTTCTTGATTCTTGGTGTTATTTCTTGTGCCACTGGGGTTCTGATCAGAAAATCCTTGACAACGGTTTTACCAGTTTTATCTTCCAGTGATTTAAGTGTTTCCGTTTCAACATTTAAATCCTTGATCCGTTTTTATTTTAGTTTAGTATATGGTGAGATACCTGGGTCTCGACTCAATCTTCTGCATGTAGATAGCCAGTTTCTCCAGTACCATTTATTAAAGAGACTCTCTTTCCTCCAGTGTATGTTCTGGCCCCTTTGTCAAACAGCACATGGCTGAATGCGCCCGACCTGAGCCGATGAAGTGCCCCTCCATCACATCTCCATTGCAGGGCTGTGTCTGCTACGCACAGCAACGATATTTCCAAGCACCGTGGTATTTCTAAGTCTGCCTTTCAGCTCAGTGAGAAGGTCTAGAGGCTGGAGGATTGTGAATCTTCGTATTCACATTCCCATGTCTAGCCTGTGCCACACGTAGGACTCGTTCTGAACCTTGCTGGGACCCCGGGCTTACTCGTCTACTTCCTGCTGTCCTGGGAGAAGGCCGTGCAGCCTCCAAAAGCCAGGACGTGTGTTTGCCGAGTGGGGCGGCACAAAGGCTGATGGGGATTAACAACCTGGCTTACTAACGAGGAGAGCAAGGCTCAGCGAGGGTGTGTTAGCTCTCTGTCGCTGTAGCAAACATAATCAGCTGTGGAGGAGGAAAGGCTTACGTGGAGCACAGTCTCAGAGATTTCCCTCTGTGGTCCACCGGCCTGCAGATTTTGTGTGTCATGGTAGAAGCACGTGGAGGGGCAGCCCATTCACCCCACAGCAGCTGGGATGCAGAGAGAAGGAGCCACAGTTCCCAGAATCCCTTTCTAGGGCAGCCTCCTGAAGGTTCTACCTCCTCCCGCTAGCACCGCAGGCTGGGAGCCAAGCCTTCGACCCATGAATCTTGGGGGACACCTGAGGCCAAAGTCTCGCAGGGGTTCTCACCCAGTGGGCGTCAGAGCCGAGGCCACAACCCAGATGGGCTCTGGGTGTGTGGCCGTGACATCCGGGCTCTGCACGCCCCCACCCTCCACACCCCACAGGATGTCTTTCCTTGGGTTGGGACACTTCCCAGGTCACGAGCGTCCTCCCGGAAATCACACCAACACGGGCCTACCACCATAAGGACACTGAGCGAACATTTCCCTCCCATCTGTCCGTTAGCCAAGAATTCAGCTGGACACTAACCAAGGCTGTGCCCTCACCCCTACACCCAGCCTCATACCAGGGGACCCTCCAGGCCCCGGAGGCTGCGAGCTGCACTGATGGTAAAACCTCAGAGGCCGACAGGGCTACTGGGCAGCAGCATTAAATCTGGGGCTGACGGGGGGCACCCGGCCTGCACCCGTGGGCCCTTTGGTTAATGGTGCTTTGCATGGGTTTCACGCCCTTAAACCGTACAAGTGGGTTGGGACTCTTGATCCTGAACAGAATGTTTGTTCATGTCTACACATTTCTATTCATTCACCGTATCTACTCTTTATAGTTCTTCCCCTCCACCTCCCCCCAGAGGGTCATCCCTGTTACCACGGTGCCTTCACCGGTGTCTACAGATGCTCGAGAAAGGAGGAATAAATGGCCCAGCAGCAGGGACTTATATACGAAACGCAGGATTTCCTACCCACCCTGACTTTCACCAGCCCAGCCCGTCTGCAGTCTACAGGAGTCTGCAGCCAGGCCTCCCTGGGACAACAGGGGTGCCTTCACCCTGGTGGAGAGGACGGGGCGGTGCACGGCTCAGCCCGGGAGCCCTTCTTTTCCTGCTCTGTACTCCTTTGCTTAGGTCCAGTCCGCTAACTCAGACTCGGATGTGCGTTCAGCTTCCTCTGCTGCATCTTTGCTCTGGGGTCTGAGACCTCAACTTTCCGGGCCAAGAAAGAGCTCTTCTTGCCCCACCTGACCCCACCAGCCCAGGAGAGAATGCCCTGGGCAGAAGTCAGGAGGCACCTCCCATCCTCTCTGTCCCAACCCCCAGGGCAGCCCAGCATTTCTGCCTCCAGCTCCTCCTTTGTCACCCTCCCCATGACAAGCCTGGTCCACTCCACCATCACCTCTCAGCTGGACCACCCCTTCCATAAGGCGAGAGACCTGGAGACCTCAAGCGGTGTCCCTTTTGTGCAGAAGAAAACACTAGCTGTTTGCCAGGTCCGCCCGCCCAGGGCAGGGGGAGCAAGGCTGTATCCATTTGTGCTCCATCGACTGAGATCCTTTCCAGTTGTGGAGAACAGGAAAAGCAAGCATCCCTCGTCCCTCTGAGGTTCTGGGTCCTCTGGCCTTGCTCTGGAGAGCAAGGAGCCTGCCTTTGGCCCAGAGCAAGGGTGGCTCAGCCCCAGACAGAGTGCTGTCAGTGCTGTGGACCATCCAGCCTGCTGGTGCAGTTTCCTGTGCTGTAGCCACTTAGACCTTGGCTGGGGGTGGGGGTGGGGGCACAGGGCAGGCAGAGAGATAGGCAGGGCCCAAGCACAAAGGCTCTCTATACGGATGGTCTGAGGCCTCCAAGTTGTCTTTACCTGACAGGACACCGCAGCCTGCAGACACAGGGCTCGAGGCTCTTGGAAGAAAGTCCCAGGGAAGTGGGAAGAGGTCACTTTCTCCTGGCCTCTCAGTCTGATGCCCCCAGGGGCTGTGGCCCAGGCTCACAAGCTGGCCTGGTTGCCAGAAGGCTGGGGAAGAAAACTCTGAGCCCCAGAAGGTGGACAGAGGCCAGCAATCTGCAAACCAGGGAGGACTGAAGGAAGACGCGGGAGGTGATTTGCAGTTTCCCAGTCGGTCCTGTCTGCCTGCGCCTGTGTGATGCCTGCAAAGTCACTTGTCCCCTCTGGGCTCAGACTGGGCTGTCCCAGCAGGCCACAGACAGGATCGGTCAGTTTCCCACAGCCTGGAACAGAAGGGGTCTGGCGAGGGGCAGTGGAGAAGGGAAACAAGCCCTGGAGTCCTTGGACAGTCTAAGAAAACCTATTCTTGGGCTCCAGGAAGATGAATTCAGCTGTAGCATCTTCATTCCTTCCACACAGCTTTCAAACCCTGAGTGCTTCCAGAAGCCTCGGGTTCTCAGGCTGCTGAGCCTCTTGTTTGGAGACAGAGAAGTTGGAGAGTAATTTTCTATTCCCCCATGCTTGCTTGCTTTCTTTATTTATGTATTTATTTTGAGATGGTTTTGCTGCGCAGTTCAGGCTGGCCTTGAAATCACAGTGATCCTCCTGCCTCAGCCTCCCCAGTGCTGGGAACACAGGCGTGCACCACCATGCCAGGCACCGCACTCTATTTTTAGCTGCAATGCCTCCTGCAGCAGTGGTGGGCTCCCCGGAAGCGGAGCATGGTCAGCAAGACCCAAGCAATAAATAGCCAGGGACAAGGCCCATCAGCTTCACGGGCACCAAGCTGCCCAGAATGGACACGCCAGCTGCCAGGGGTCTCTGCCAAGGTGGCGCCGCTCACCACACGCGGTCTGACGGCCTGCACTGATGCAGGGAGGGCAGTGGGGGTCATGGCAGGTGTTGAGGGCAGGCAGGAGCAGCCTGGTGACCCTGCCGGAGGGACACCGATCTGCGGGACTCTGCGGGGAGGCCTGGTCCCTTGAATAGAGGTGACTCCCGGGACATCCCCGAGAAGCCAGCCTCTGGAGCTTTGGCTGCAGCTGGGTCGGACTTGCTGGACCTCAGGAACCGGAGCCGGGTTCTCGCACCCACAAACCCCAGCACAGCCATTCCCAGGGCCAAAAGTGGGGCCCAGCGCTGCTTTCCCTCTCTTCCCTACACATCTGCCGGCCTTAGGTTCCATTGCCAGTATAGGGGGCAAAAAAGAGACGCACACCCCCACCTCGGCGTAGGTCGGTGGGTTGGGCGCTCCAGCTCTGTCCACAAAACCCGCGCCTTTCTCGGGCCTGCCCCGCCGCGTGGAACGTGGAGTGTGCTCATGCGCACATTGCCCTCCGCTTGGCCTTGCCTTGCAGGACAGAAGCGCAGAGCCCAGCACCTGCGTGGACAGCTCGGCGTCCCCATCGGTGGCCCAGCTGGCAGGGCACTTTCGGGAGCAGGCGGCTGCAACCAAGGAGGTGAGCCTGGAGGTGGAAGCAGCAAGGGGAGGTCTGGCCCGAGGAGAGGGAGGATGACCGAATTAGGAAGAGAAGCCACAGAGGGTCCCTGTGAAAGCGAGGAATGTGCCAGAGCGGGCCTTGAACCCTTCCCCACAGGAAGGCGGCACGCCAGGCCAGGACAGGGAAGTGATGCGGATCCGCTTTCATGCTTTTATCGTGAGCCTCCACACCAAGAGCCCGGAGGAGTCGGGTGGTGGGGGAGTCCCCAGAGGTCCCCAAACCTGGCTCCTGGCGAGCAGCCTAAGAGTCCCAAGCAGGGAGGCTGGGCAGAAGGAAGAGAGGACACTTGGAGGGAAGCACATCCCAGTGGGAAACCAGGGACCAGGGAGGCTGCTGCAGAAGACAGGGTGACGCCAGGCGTGGTAGCGCATGTCTGTGATCCCAGTACTCTAGGAGGCTGAGGCAGGAGGGTCACAAGTTCAAGCCCAGCCTGGGCAATATAGTGGCTTAGCAAGATCCCGTCCCAAAATAAAAAATTTTTAAAGTGGGGTGGGATGCAGCTCAGTGCAAAGGCCCTGGGTTTAATCCCTGATATTGAAAAAGAAAGAGAGAAAGCAAGCAGCAAACGAACAGTGGAAAGGGCCTCATCTTAACTTGGGCGAGATCTGGACCGCATTCTCTGTCCGACAGTGAGGCGCTCCTTACAACGAGATGACAAGAGCACCCCCAAGGTGAAAGGGGGCTTCTGGTGACCCCAGGGTAGGATAGGGGCCGCATGAGGGCTGCCTTACCCTTTTGGGTGCACCATTTGGCACTTTTATCTTCTCAACCAAGAAAACAGATCCCTCATTTCTAGACCCATCCTGAAGGACGAAGGAGACAGCATTGATCTTGAAGCTAGTGCTCTTTAAAGCTGGCTGAGGGAGGATGTGCCTGCTGGTGCAGGCTGGTGAATCCCAGGGAAGATAGGCAGGGACAGGACAGGAGGAGCTGCCCACCACCATTCCATCCTCTCCAGCCATCCCTAACCAAGCCTAACTGAACCACTTCCTTCCTCTTCCTCCCTCTTGCCTGATTAGCTGTCTCTCTGTCTGTCTGTCTGTCTGTCTGTCACTCTCCCTCTAGACACCAGCCAGTAAACCAACCAGAAGGAAACCGCCCTGCTCCCTCCCCCTGTTCCCCCACAAGGTAGAGATGGGCCAGAATGGTGAAGAGGTAAGTACTCCGCTACCGGGCCACTTGTGAGTTTTCTTCTTCTAGGAAGAGGCACAAAAATCATACCTTCAGGCTTTGAAATTTATGCAGAGAATTAAACCACTTTCTATTCAAGGACGCGTACTGGGGATTGCACCCAAGGCCTTTGTACTGAGCTGCTACATCTCCAGCCCTCTCTTATTTTTTGTTTTGAGACAGGGTCTTGCTGAGTCGCCAAGTTGCCCAGGCTAGGCTTGATCTTGCAATCCTCCTGCCTCAGCCTCCCAGAGTGCTGAGAAGACAGGCATCCACTCAGTTTGAATCCCTCTCCTAGTGCTACCTGCGGCTTTACTTTGGAATTTAGGTTTCTCTATAATCTGTCCTGCTGAGCCTCCTCTATGATCTGATCAAGGACAGAAACAACATTTTTTAAGCCTGAGAAATGAAGCAAAAAGAAAATCATTACCACACCCAATTCGGGATTTGGGAAAGTTGTGTTATTTTTCCAGGTCTCCCAGGCCTGATCTCAGGATTCTGTGTACAGAAGGACCCTGGATAGAGGCTGTCCTGCCATGTGGTGGGATTGTAATGCGGGAGAGTCCCACGGCTCCCCCTTGGGTCCTGGAAAAGCCAGGCTATTGTATTAGACCCTTGGAAGAAAACCAGAGCGCGCAGGAGGCCTCGTTGCCCTCAGATATAAATAGCCAGCGCTGGCGGCACAGATCATAGCCAGTAATAGATCCAGCCCGCACAGGCACCCACCCTGCTAATCTGGCTGCAGCTGCAGCAGTCCCTCTGCACACCCTGCCCCGGCACCCTCCCTGTGGTCCCGGCAGGGCCAGAATGGATGCAGCATTGGAAGGGCAGGCCCCGTGTCCCCCGCGGGAGGCCAACCCCAAACACGGAGCGAGAGCCACAGAGAGCTGGGTTGGCGAATCCCACTTCAGCCAGGCTTTTCTCCCCCTTCTCTCTGCCAGCATCCTGACCACAGACCCCGAGAATGCCTGTGTGAACTTGGGCGAGCCCCTTGGCCGCTGCATTTTCTCATCTAGGACGCTCAAAACAATTGAAATACACGTGGCTTTCCAGGCTTTGTGTCAACTCCCTAAGCCAAAGCCAGTCAGAAAAAGCCAAAACTAGAGCAGGACCTGGTCGAGGGTTGGCGGGGTCTCCTCGCCTCCCTCCACTGAACGAAGGTCTCATTCCAGAAGGGGAGCCCAAGCGGGCGTTGAGAACGTGCTGAGACCTTGCGGGGTCTGTTCCAGGGCTGGCGCTATGACGGGCAGCTTCATGGGGTTACCAAGCAGTGCTGAAACCAAATCACACCAACAACTTCCCTCTCTGTAGGCTGAGCTTCTCCTTGTGACTTTCCCCTCAGATTCCATGGCTCTGCGGCTGTGGCCACCCGAGGGTGTCCCCTGATAACCCGGCAGAGCTTGGGAAATCACTGACTCTGGTTCTGTGTTTGTCACATGAGGACAGGACCCAGATAGACCAGGGCGGCTGGGTGGAATAAAGCGGAGGGCTCAGCCTGGCAGGGACTTGGCGTAAGGGCTGTGTGGGGTCAACAGAGAGCTTTCGTCCCTCATCCAGGAAGTACCGGTGTGCGATGGCCAAGGGCTAGGAGAAGAGAAGGGGAGAGGGTTCAGGGGTTATCTGAAAATACGGTGAATGCTTAATTTTTAAAACCTTATTAGAGTAGAAGACATTCCCACGAAGTGACCAAAAATACAATCAATGCTGCTGAGTGCCACCCAACTGAAAGGCAGGCTCATAAAAACGTTACAGGGCGTCCCGATCCACCTCGTTCACCAGATCTGGCACTGCACGACTTCTGGTTCTTCCCCAGAGTCAAAATGACCATGAAAGGTAAACATTTTGAATCAACTCGGGACTAAAGGCAGCCATGACGGTGCAACTAAAGACACTCCTGAAACAGGACTTCCAGAACCGTCAAGACCCATGGGAATAAGCGTTTTAGAAGCAAGGGAAGTATTGAGAGGGGAATCCATGACAACGTGTCTTTTACTATCATTTTTTAAAAATGTAAATACACACCCTGTTTTTCGATCATACCTCCACAACCAACAACTTCCTGCCCCGAGGGACAGGCTGCTCGGATACAAGAAAGACGCTACCTCCTGGGAGGGTCAACTTTTTGCTGCCTTGAAACTCACACAGAAGTAAAGTGGGTGGCCTGGCGCCTGGCAGCTGGGGGGAAACTGAGGCCACACTTCCTCCAAGGTCCTCCAGGGCAGCCCGCGGCTGTCCTGGTGCTAAAGACTGGGCCAGAGGGCCGGGGCTCAGCCAGGCCTGGGTTCCTAATGCACAGTGCCAGTTTAAAGCTGTTGAAAAGGGCTGAAAAATGCTGCCATATGAAAAATCAGGCCCACGGCCTCTAGATATTATAAGACGCATTGGGATGTCATAGAAACATATCTCTACATACATGCAAAGGGCTGGGAAGCTGGGTTTTTCTCACGGATTCTGTTACCGCCTGCATGTCCCTGAAGCCCTCGGTTAAACGGTAAAGGAAATGCTGCCACCTGCTGTCGTCTATAGGAACTGCATATAGGATTCCACTTGTAGTTCAAATTACTAAGGGCGGAGTGACACCTCTGCTGGGTCCCCAGTACTTGCCCTGTGAATTTCTCCTGCCTTTGGAATAAAACGGCCAGTTGGGAGAGAGTTCACAGTATTACAAAAAAACAGCTTTTCCAGCAAAAATTGTTGCTGCGGTTTCTGATACAGTGCCTTCAACAACACCCATCCCCTTGAAATTCTTCCATAAAGCGCAGAAGCTGAGGACCGCCCAGAGGGGCTGGAAGCTCTCGGTACTCACCATAGACAGAGAGCTCCTTAAAAGGCTGCTGCAGGAATAGGTGTTACAGGAGGCGGGGGCTTCTGAGCGCCAGGAGGTCCTCGGCATCAAGCATCCCTCAAGCTTGATCTCTGGCAGAGTCTGAGGCCGGGAGTATCCGTGTAGTCCCTGTGTAAGGTAGACGCGGAAGGGTCTGGGTGTCCTGCGTCTTGGCCAGTGGTTGTCTCAGCTCTCTCTCTGGACACCGGGCTTTAATCAGGTCACAAGATCAGGGAGTCACTCTCCCTCGTGCCATCACTGAGATACCATCGCCCTCATGGACAGTCAGACTGTCCCCAAGCGGTCAGCGTGATTCTTTTGCTCAAGCAAATTAGTACCATGGAGTGAGGGCAGATTACCCATGTTGGTCCCAAACTGTAAGAGGAACCCCTTCTGTGCCTGGGCTTCTGTCCCACGTGGGAATCGCTGCCTTTTTCCTCATCCTTGTCATCAAATCCTTGTATCACTGACTTTGTTCCCACATAGCTGTGGATGTCTGACATAAAACAAGGAGTCACTCTTCTGCCCACGCCTAGAGGGCAGAGGCTAATGAGTCTTCATCTTCGCGTAACCAGCAGAACGCCAGGGATGTGGTAGATGTGTGATACTCATGTCTGCTTAATTAAAATGAATGCTCCGTGTTTTATTTATTTATTTGTTTTGTTTTGTTTTGGATTTTTGAGACAGGGTCTCACTGTGTAGTTGACACTGACCTGGAACTCACTATGTAGCCCAGGCTGGTCTCGAACTCGCAGTGATCCTCCCTGCCTCAGCCTCCCTAGTGCTGGGATTACAGGCGTGCCCCACCATGTCCGGCTTTTTATGGGGGGGGGGTACCGGGGAATCGAACTCAGGTCCTTGCGCTTACAAGGCAGGTGGCAGAACCGCTGAGCTAAATCCCTGGCCCTGCTCCATGTTTTAGAAAATGACAATTGACCAAAACATGCCATGGTTGGAATTTTCCAAAATACCATTAGTTGAGTGGAGGAGTTTCCATACTAGTTCTGTTGGATTTCATTTCATTCCTGGTCTGTAGTTTCTTGATTTTATTTTTTAAATTTTTAGACAGGGCCTCACTGTAAAGTTCAGGCTGGGCTTGAACTCACTGTGGAGCCCAGGCTGGCCTCAAACTCTTGGCGATCTTCCTGCCTCAGCCTCCAAGTGCTGGGATTACAGTCACGCACCACCATGCCAGGCTCTTGCTTTCTGTGTAATAAACAGAAAGGGGTGATTGCTTTGCCTTTGCTTTGGGAATTCCCTCCAATGGCTGGTTCACCTTGTCGAAGGTTACGAGGTGAAGACTTGTCTCCCACAGGTGTAGTTTCCTTTGCAGTAACAGCAAAGTCATTCTCCCTGGGCTGGGTCTCTCCTGCGTCCCGAGTGCCTGCCTCAGCTTCTCAGCTCGTACACTCGAGTGGTCATGCTAGTCATGAGGTGAGGGAAGGGCACAAGGGGAGACGGCTTCACCCAGGCCTGGGAGGTAAGTGGGCCAGGAAACGGAGGGGGCACCGACGTCTCCTCCCCATGTGGCCTCTGGGCCATCCGAGCCCGCTTCCCTACGCCTCACTCATTTGGTTATTCTGATCCGTTTGCTCTGTAGAAAGCGTCGCCTCATGGCAGCCACCCTCCTAAAGTCAAGGTGAAGAGCTCACCCCTGATTGAGAAGCTGCAGGTAAGGAGAAGTCACAGCGCCCGCGGCTCCCTCTGACCCAGCCCCACTTGTCACACTCAGTGTGCAGGGCTCGGGAAGGGGCCTTCGGAACTCCCGGTCGTGACACCGAAGGCCACCTCAGAGTGGCCCCTGCTTGTCAGCTCGTGAGCAGACTGTCCAGCGGCGAGGCTCTCAGGGTTCTCCCAGGAAAGCTCTAACCTTAGGGTTGTGTCAGGCATGAGCACGAGTAACGCCTCCTCGGGGGTGCGTGACCGCATGCCTCGAATGTCGCATAGGAAAAGCACATTGTGATTAAAGGAAACAGTCCAGGAGTAGCCAGCCTCGAGGAGGATCGAACAGAACCTCGATCGCTTCAGCATTACACACGCAGGGCCAAACTCCAGCGGCTACGCACGGCGACACCACAGCCCAATTCCTGGTGTGCAGAGCATTCCTCCTGGTCTCTCCGCCTGTCGCCCTGTGTGCCCAGGGCCCTCGTGAACTGTGCCCACGCTGGGCTGGCTCTCTGGGAGTGGTGGCCACACAGGTGGCCTTGCCCCTGAACGCGCAATCTTGCGGAGATGAGATGTTCATACCTGACACAATGAAAGACGTAGAGGAGAGTAGTGGCAGCGATCTCCCTGCGTTTCCTCAACCCACTCTTGCCCAGCCAGTCGGGCTCCTCAGCCTTGGCACGCGCAGAGCTGGGGCACTGAGTTCCGGGAGGCTGCCTGGCAAGGTGTTTAGCGGCATCCCCGGTCCCACCCCTCCGTGGCACCCGCCAACAAGTTGTGACCGTGAAGAAAATGTCTGCAGACTTCGCCAAATGTCCCCTGGGGACAAAATCTTCCCCACCACCTCCCCTGGTGCGAAACAGTGCCCCGGAAAGTCCACATGAGAAGGGAGTAGAGTGAGCGGGAGAAAAGCGCATCCGGCGCCAGTCCGATTTGGGGTGGGGCTGGAAGGGGTGAGGAAGGCGCTCCAGACCTTGGAACCTGAGCCGAAGCACAGAGAAGGGGCGGGCACCGTGCTGGAGCCGGGGCGGGGTCCTGATCGCTCCCAGCTTCTTCCGGCTCGCAGGAGGAGGGGCAGCGAGGCTCAGGGCACAGTCGGTCCCGCGCAGCTTGTGCTCTTCAGCGTCACCGGGGGATGTCAAGACAGAGCGACAGGCTCCACAGGTCCTGGCTACGGGGAGCTCCCCGGTTCCCGGGCTGGCTTGGGGTTGAGGTCCCCTGAAATGTGCTTCCTCCTGAAAGCCCTGAGGCCCTGCAGCTGCAGGGCGGCGTCACTGCCACTCTAGAGGGAAGGGGCTCCCACGTGGGCGCCGGCGAACTCTCGCAAGGGGCCAGACCTCCAGCATCCCGCAGAGGGGTGTCGCCCAGGCCCCCAACTCTGTCTCCCTGCGGCCCACTCGTCCAAGTGGCAGGGACGAGTTCCCAGACCCGGCGCTCATCCCCATTCGCAGCCACTGAGGAGACCTCTCGGAAACGCAGCAGGTTCAGAAGGTTTGCCTGTCTGGCTGTCAGTGTCAGCAGTGGCATGGCTGATGAGCTGAATCTCACAGAAGTAGGGTCCTTACTTCGTGGGCAACACATGAGCAAAAGAACCAAGAAAGGCAACCTCAGCTGAGATTTTCTTCTAAATGTTCTGTTGAACGAGTTATGATTCTGTCCAAGCTTGAAGGTCAGTTTTTCTGCTCACTAGCAGGGTCCATTTTATTTGCAAGCAGCTGTCTAGGGGGAAGTCTCTCTGCTGGCCTTTTAGCAGGGGAGGGGCCCTCCTGTAATGCACAGGTGAAGCCCCCCAGCCCTGCAGACCTCTGAACCAAGTCCCGAAGCCCTGGGGTCCGGCCCTCCCCGGAAGCCACCACCTGGCTTGGGCTCACAGTGCTGCTGCTTAACTTTTATATTTTGTGAATTTAACTCTTTCCCTGACTCAGCTGAGAATACCTTCCTGAACTCTGCAGTCTGCACACCCAACCTCCTCACACAGGAGCCCTCCCGGGGTGAAGGGAGCAGGAAGGGAGAAGTGTTGGGTAGTGGGCCAGCCGGGGTCAGGGCCCAGTAAATCGAGAGCAGCCCAAAAAGACCTTGGAAGTCAGGCTCGGAACCCGAGGCTCGGAGAGGCTGTTGGACTTGCTAAAGGTCTCACGGCAGCTGGTAAACGAAAAGGTCCACTGTCCAGAGTCAGGTTTGATGGTCTACAGAAGCCAAGGACTTCAGCGGCCACCATCTGCTGTCCAAGCTATTCCCTTCCCTGTGAGGCCTCACTGCTGTCTGCCTAGCAGCACCTCGGGTCTGGGGACCCCAGCCTTGCAGGGATTTGTATGGGGGGACAGGAGGAGGCGGAGGGGAGGGGAGGGGAGGGGGGAGAATTCCTTCTTGCCTCCAGGGATGGCTTCAGGACCTCCCCCCAGACTCACGTCCCCTGCAGCCTTGGTGACGTGTTACCCTGGTGGCCGGGGCTGTGCCGGGCGTGGCCCACACCGTGTCTGTCTGTCCATCACTCCTAGAGTGTAATGTCCGTCTTCCAAGAGGCATCTGCTGCCTGCAGGCTGAAGGGGACAGACCTGGTGCGGATCTTGGGCGGATTCCTTAGTCACCACCCTAATGAGTGCAAGCAGAACAAACTTAATTGCGGAGCCCAGGACTGAACCCAAGGCCTTGCACTGAGCTATGTCGCCAGCCCTTTCTAAATTTTTCATTTTGAGACAGTCTTCTTAAATGAAGTTGCCCAAGCGAGGCATCTTGGTTGGATGCACAGAGTATTCTGAAAGGCAGCCCGTGCTAAGCCAAGCGTCGGGGTCGGGGGGTGGGATGGAGTGGGCAGTGCTTACGGGAGCAGGGCGTGAGGTGGCTGATGATGGGGTGGGAGGTGACACGGAAAGCTTCCCCTTCACTGGTCTCAAGCAGTCCTGGTGACCCCCAAGCCAGGTGGAAGCTTAGTCCTTCTCCCCAGCCGTTTGAAACTCCTCTCCTTTCCGTGACAGGCCAATCTGACCTTTGACCCCGCAGTCCTGCTGCCCGGGGCCTCGCCCAAGAGTCCCGGCCTCAAGGCCACGGTGTCACCGTTTCACAGCCCTCCACCCACCCCCAGCAGTCCCGGTGTTCGGTCGAGGCCCAGCGAGGCGGAGGAGGTACCCGTCAGCTTCGACCAGCCCCCGGAAGGGAGTCACCTGCCCTGCTACAACAAGGTACACCTGCCTGTGTACGGTGGCGTGCTGCGGAAGTGTGCGGGGACAGCCCCCCACCCCGATCTGTCTGTGCCCAGTGGCAGGCTGATGGGAGGGAGGGAACCAAGCGCAGCTGCACAGAAGGCTAAGGTCAGAAGCTGAGAACAGAACCAAAGGCCTTCTCCAGACTCCCGGAGAAGCCTGGAACATCCCGGTCTAGCCTGATATGAATGGTCCAAAGTGACTCAGCGTGGCTCCGACCGTTCCTACGTAGGTAGAGGCCACCAAACTGTTCCCTTTGCAGAAGGCATCCGGCAGGGCTTGTGTGTAGGAGCTGCCCCGATCCTGTGTGTGTCCTCTCTTTATTTCCCCGGCCCCAGCAGGGGAGGTAGGGGGCAGGCCTACAGTCCAGTGCTGTCTAAGCAGGTGGCTAGCGATGTGGGACAGAACCAGGCAAAAGCCATACGGAAGGGTCTCTTGCCAGGGAATCTGAACTACATATGGCTTTGGAATTAAGGGTGGGGCAGTGAGATCTTCCAGGACGGCCCAGGAAGTCCACCCAGCAGGAAGTCACAGGGGTCCAAACAAGTAGGGCGAAGAACAGACTGGGGGCCAGCAGGTGGCGGGCAGGCTTGGGCCTGCTGGCTGGGGACAAGGCAGAAGCCCTCCATCTCGGGGTGATGGAGCCCCCAGAAGGCAGACGGAGCCAGTGGAGAGCTGTGGCAGGAGGATCCCAAGTTCCAAACCAGCCTGGGCGATTTAGCTACTCAGCAGAACTTTTAAAATTAAAAAAAAAAAACGCCTGGGTGTGTAACTTAGGGAACTCAGTCCCTCTTGTGGGGGTGGGTGCTAAGCTAGACACCAACCAGTTAATGTTTTACAAAGCTGTAGGATCATCTTTTTCTTGAGGGGAAGCATTTGTATCTTCAGGAGCCAGATGCCTGCGTGTGACTGCACAACCGCACAGGCCCTAGTTTATACCCAAAGGCAAACAAGGATTCACCCTCCTAGGAAGGGAGGCACTGGCTCGCTCCCGTGGGAGGCTGAGACTGCCCTGAGGGACACACAGTCCTTCTCTCACCTGTCCAGGCCTGGGCTGACTGTCCCTCGTCCCTTCTTCCAGGTGCGGACCAGGGGCTCCATCAAAAGGCGCCCTCCCTCCAGGAGGTTCCGAAGGTCTCAGTCGGACTGCGGGGACCTCGGAGATTTCAGGGCCACCGAGTCATCTCAGGAGAACGGCACCAGGGAGGAGAACGGGGATGAAGTGTTTGCACCCAAGAGCCAGGCCCCGGGGTCCCCGCCATCCCGTGGGGGTGCAGGGGAGAGCAGGGTGCTGGTCGGCAAGCCCCCTCTGCGGAGGACAGTGAGCAGCACGGAGAAGCAGGAGGACAGAGCCGGGTGGAGCTCAGAAGGGGCCAGCGGGGGCCCAGCACGGGTGGGGAGCCCTGAGGAGGCCGAGGGTGCGAGTGCGCCCCCCTCAGAAGCAAAGGCCTCCGGAGAGGAAGCAGAGCTGGGGAAGTCTGCAGAGGCAAAGCAGGGAGACAAACAGGACGGCCCCGGCCTGAAGAGCCAAGATGCAAAGCCGGAGGAGGCGATCCAAGGGGAGGAGACTGCCCAGGCCCCTGCCAGAGAGAAGGAAGGCGGCAGTGGCCCCACGCAGGAGGAAGGCAAGGAAAAGCCAGAGCAAGGGGCAGCTCCAGGCTGCAGCCCCAGGACGCACCAGGCCACACCGGAGCCCAGCAGTGACACCCAGAGGGGCCCAGGGCTCCCCACGGTAGGTGGCTGGGCTTGCTCACATGGGGACCGCTGTGCCAGGCCACCTGGAGCCCTTGCCGAGCGCTCTGCTCCTCTCTGTCCAGGGTGAATCAGTTCAGTGTGTGGAAACGAAGGTACCAGGCTCCTGCTGGTGCCGCCTGTGTGGGGACAGGCTGTGACCGGTGGCCAGGGACAGAAGTTCCTGCTGTGTCCAGCTTCTCACTGACGGGCTCCCTGGTGGGTTTTGGTGTCCGTGGAGGAAGCAAGACTGATACAGCCCGGTCACTGGTCCCTACAGCACCAGAGAGCGGCTGGGGTGAGAAGCTGGGGACGCTTCTGGTGAAGGTGGCATTGGAATTGGGCTTTAGGAAGGAACCTAACGTGACTTCTGGTCACTTACCTGTTGCACAGAAAGAGGGAGGGAACCCGTCTCTGTCCTCCTGCCTAGGCTCACCCAGCAATAAATAGTCTTTGCTGTGAGTGAAAACCAGCCCTGAGGCCTTGGAAGTCCCCCCAAGAGAAACACAGTCCTGGGCTGCGCGTGGGAGGCCCTAGGGTTGATCCCTGGTACTGCAAAAAGAAAAGGAAAAACTCAGGGTCCTGCCTCCTACCCCCAACCCTGATGGCCTCATCAGCCTGGTCACTCCCAACCAGTTTTCTTTCCCATTCTGTTAATTTGGTCATTTGTCCACTGTAAGCCCCCTGGGACAGCAGCCTCTTACCAACCCACCCAACTGGGTGGCTGGTGGATTAATTTGGATTATCTCTTTCTTTTATGTTTTTGCTGTTGTTTGTAGTACTGGAATTAATCCCAGGACCTCTGCACTGAGCTACACATCCCCAGCCCTTAAACTTTTTTTTTTTTTGAGACATGGTCTTGCTAAGTCAATAAATAGCCCAGGCTGGGGTCTAACTGTGATCCTCCTGCCTCAGCTTCCCAGACGGCAGGGACCACAGGTGTACACCAACGCACAGGGCTGGATGGTTTACTCTTTGCTGAAATTACCCAACGCTCTCACTGGAGTTGCCTTACTGAGTACCGTGAACTTGGAGGGCTTAAAACAACGGAAAATGTAGCTTCTCACAGGCCTGGAGGCTGACGGTGCTAACAGGTTGCTCGCTGTGGGCTCTGAGGGAGGACCCTGACCTCTTTGGGGGTTGCTGCCTGCCCCCCACGCCTGCCCTCCCCGCCAGCCCATCTTCCCATGGCCCTCTCTACGTTTTCTCTCTTCTCTAGTAAGCTGTGGTCATAGGATGTAGGGCCCCCAAACCCAGAAGTACCCTGCTACCAGGAAGCCAGGTCCTTGTGCCCCGAGAAACCGGCCCCTCCCTTCCTAGCCCTTGGTTCTTCGAACTCTTGGTGAATTTGGTGAAGACACCTAGGCCAAGCAGAAGTCTAGGCAGACTTTATTGTAAAGTAGATACAGAGGGAGCTAGGCCTTCAAGCGAGAAGATGGGCAGTGCCACGAAGGCATCAAAACATAGCACGAATTTGATACATTTCTGTGTACCCCAGAGTCACTCCTGGGGTCCAGGGAACTAGGATAATCGTACTGCATAGCAACATTTTACTTGGAAGTTACTTTGGAATTGCAAAATACCTTCCTGTCCCTTGTTTGTTTTTTTTATTTTGTTTTGTTTTTGAGACAGGGTACTGCAGTATAGTTCAGGCTGGCCTTGAACTCACTATGTAGCCCAGGCTGGCCTCAAACTCATGGTGATCCTCCTGCCTCAGCCTCCCAAGTGCTGGCATCACAGGTGTGAGCCACCACACCTGGTTTCCTGACCTTTTTAGATGGACAGTATTTCCTCGTAAGCTTTAATCATGGAAGAGAATTTTCTAGAACGATAAATTCTTGATTTAAGTCAGGTCCTGGCCCATTGCAGGAGGATCTTAAAGAATACTTCCTTTCCTGATAGCACCAGGCATGGGGCTGTGGCATCCAGGAATGCAGTGCAGGATGCCTTGTTCTGGGGTTAGATGACCAGGGGGCCAGGTATCAGAAATACCTGGCACAGTGTCACCCTAAGATGCCACTGTGCTGTGGGGCCACTTTGTGTCTGAGACCTAAGGGATGATTATAAACGTATTATGCACTGAAATCCTGTACCTACCTGGCAACACAGGCTGCCCCACCCATCCGGCTCATGCCTAACTGCTTGTCTAACACTCTCGTCTTTGGTCCTTTGTTACATCTACAAAAGCCCCATTCTGAACACAGTCACAGGCCCCTAGAGCAGGGATAGGACCTCCCACACCTGGCTGCAGCCTCCCTGTGGCCCCGCTTGGCTGATGTTTTTATTTTTCAAACGCACCGGGCTCGTTCCCCCTCCGAGGTCCCTCTGTGCCCTTCTCCCTGCCCAGAATGCCCCGATCCTCACACGGCCACTTCTGGCCCATCCCTGGGCTTTGGCTCCCCTCCCCGAGCCTGTCTCCACGTGGCTCAAAGGAACCTCCCCTGCACTCAGCCACTGGCCCTGGATTCACCTCTGTGCTGTCGCCGTGTTGATGCCACTTCGCCCAATCCTCTCATTCTAGAAAGGGAGAAACCAAGCCCTGGAGAGAGCCTCGGAGTTGTCCAGGGTCCCGAGTTCAGTCAGGGAGGAAACTCTTTCCAGGCTCCTCTGCCAGGCGCGCGGCCCTCAGTCTCCTTCCGCTCCTCCCAAAGCTGGGCAGAGTTAGGCAGGGAGGCCTTTTCAGGAAGTGGCAGCGGCCAGAATTCTCTCTGCCTGACCTCCTCCCCACCTTGTGCTCTGACTGATAGAAATAAGTAGATCACATAAGCTAACTACGGTCACACGCATGCAGCCAGCACTTAACAAGCAGCCACCTTCCCTTTCGCTATGGTCAAAGAGGAAAAAAGGCAGAAAGAAGTAAACTCAGAGCCAGTCGCAGAATTCATGGGATTCCCCTGCTAATGGTGCTCTGTGAACACAAAGGAGGAGGCCATTCACTCTCCAGAGAAAACAGGGGTGGTTGGAGATTTAGCGCAGCAGTGGAAAGCACAAGGTCCCTGGAGATCACAAGGTCCCGAGTTCAATCCCCGCCCCCCCCCGTACCAAAAACAAAACAGCAAGCGGGGGAACATTTCCTAATTTTGCCAAAGGCACCAGATGGAAGAGAGCACTCAAAAGGGTTAGCTGCTTCTGGGAATGTCAGTGTACACCTGTAATCCCAGCACTCTGCCAGGCTGAGGAAGGAGGATCACAAATTCAAGTCTAGCATAGACAATTTAGCAATTTAGGGAGACCCTGTCTCAAATTCTAAAACGAAAAAAAGGGAGAGGAAGTGTTCAGTGTTAAGATGCTGGGTTCGATCCCCAGTCTGGGGAATTTCAGACGAGCCCTGTTGACAAGGACAGGGAGCACTGGGTAGAAGGCACTGAGTCAGATGTAACTCTGCCACTTAAAATGAATCTGACACGCTCATTACGTGCCCATTCCTGAGGGGCAGGGGCTCTGCAGTTCGCAAACACCCACACGCAGATGACCCAGACATCAGCTCCGGGACTTTGATGTCCCAGCAGGAAGTGCCAGATTTCCTAACTGCCTGGTTCAAGGTCTTTTCCAAGTCATTCTCCTTGCTTTTGCAATATTGAGTTTGACATTCCGGTTGCCCTTTGCCCACCTCCAATGTCTGCTTTGCCTATTCCTTTCCTCCCTCCCGGGGGAGCTGGGTGCCAGGCACACAGACTCCATTGTTGGTGGCCCTTATCCCTTTTCCGTTCTCCTGTCCAGGGCACACTGCCCCTGCATCCACACCCGTGCTCCCCAGCCATTTGCTGTCTGTCTGAGGTCTCCCTCCTCCGCCCTCCTAGCCCCTCCATGATGCCAGTGCTAGCCTTTCTTTCTGTTCTGTGTGATCATAACTCACTCCCCCCAGAATTCTGTCTCTACCCTATCCTACCCATCATCACCGAATCCACCTTCCTAAAACTTGCTACCTCTGGCCAGCCCGGCCCATCATTGCATGCTTCTTATCCTAGCGTTAGGGAGGCTGAAGCAGAAGGATCACCACTGGAGTTTGAGGTCAGCCTGGGCTGCACAGGAAGTTCAGGACTGGCCTGGATGCTGTAGCAAGTCGTGTCTCAGAAACAAACACGTAAAAGAACCCACCTCAGCTGTCTCCTCTTCTACGCTAAACCTTTTGCTCTCTACCTGCCAGGGTCCCTGACCTTTCCTGTCCTCACAGCGGGGCCCAGGGCTCCACCCACCTTTCCACATGGGCAGTGTGCCTGCCCTGCCACCTGCTATGGCTGCAGCCCAGCATGGGCTCAGCCCTCTCCTCCTCCGCATCTCTGCCCTCTCCAGGCCTTTCCTGCCTGTCCCTAGGCAGGCGTCCCCTTGCACACCTGCTTGTGCTCACACCGGGGCCACATCCCCGAGTGTCTCTGAGTGTCTAAGCTCAGTAGTGACGGAGACAGGGCCTGTGCTTCAGCGCCCCTCCACTAGGGGGCAGACCTAACCGTGATACCTCTGAGGAGCTACGGAACAAACAGCCCATTCGCTGAGTGTGTCAGTCTTTATTTTTGGTAGGGCCATAGATCAAATCCGGGGCTGTGTGCATGGCAGGTAGGCGCTCTACCACTGAGCCACACAGCCGCCCAGCTCCATCTGTTCTTGCTCCACATTTATATTGCCAAAGAACCTTGAGCAGGAAGACAGAGTTGAGCGGAAATGAGAGTAGCTAAGAGAGCCAGGCGGTGGGACCCAAGTAAGCCAGGCATGGAGGGAGAAGTAACGGCCTAGTAGCTGAGGGCCAGAGCTCTGGTCCCTGGGTCTGAATCCTGACTCCAGCACTTCCTAGCTGTGTGACCGAAGGGAGTCACTTCCCGTCCCTGTGCCTCCAGGGTCTCGCCTGTGACACAGTTAGAAATGCCCAGTTCACACTGCTGTCGTGTGTGAACGAGCTGGCCTGCGTCAGACTTCCTGTCGGGCACACTCCAGCTATCCTTGCAGGATGTCGGCCGAGTACAGGACTTCTCCAGCCTTTCCTAATTCATTCTCTCCTCCCCTGTTCCCAGGACGAGCCCCCTGTCCAGGATACGAAGATGTGAAAAAGAGCTCGTGGTGCCCTAGCAACGAAGCTGCTGGAGGTGAAGGAGAGGAAGCTGTCTGTCGGCTTGAGTTTGTGTCACTAAATGGACTTTGTTTAAAACACAAACATTTAAAGCAGGGAGGAGTGGTGACTGCTTCGGAGACTGCAGCCCCTGGGCTTCTCACCGGCTCCTGGGAAGCTTATCAGATGTTGCCTGTGTAAAGTTACAGCCTTTTTACTATTCAGAAATGTTTACGGTTCTCAAATAGTGGTAAAAATTCATCTTAAGTGAACAGAAAAAAAGACAGTAGTCTTGCTGAAAAATACAAATAAAAGACCTCCAACTGTGTCAAGACCCTTGAGACAGCCTGTCAGCTTGCTCCAAATATGAACTGCACAATCGATTCTGAAAATATTGGTCTAGAAGAAATAACTGCGTTTAAAAAGAAAAAATAGCCGGGTGTGGTGGCTCACACCTATAATCCCAACACTAGGGAGGCAGAGGCAGGAGGATCACCACAAATTCAAGGAGAGCCTGGGCTACATAGTGAGTTCAGGGCCAGCCTGCACAACAAAGCAAGACCCTGTCTGAAAACAAATAAATAAATTAGCTCGTGGTGGTGGCACATGCCTATAATCTCAGAACTCTGGGAGGCTGAGCCAAGAGGATTGCAAGCTCAAGCTCGACCCAGGAAATTTAGGAAATCAGTGAGACTCTGTCTCAAATTAAACAATAAAGAAAGGCTGGGGATGTAGCTCAGTGCAAAGGCCCTGGGTTCAATTCCCAGTACCCGGGGTGTGTCAGTTCCAAGAGGAGCTTTTCTGCTCCCTTAGTTTTCTAGCTCCCAGCCTTCCGCCACCCTTGAGGACACGGTGGGACTCCTTGGAGAGGCAGGGTGCCAAGAGGGTCCTGCCCCCCTCTTGGCAGAGTGCGGCACCCACAGGACAAGCGCTTTGCCCCTGCAGGGATGAATTCCGCACTCACAGAGCCTCTCACCGGATTTTCACTTCCAGGGAGTGCCTGAGCAGGTGGTGTGCAGGCTGCCTTAGAAAACATCCTCCCTCGCTGCTGCGAAGCTTTTCTGAACCTAAGGCAGGTTTTCATCTAGCTCAGGAGGAATGAGCTGGGCCTCTTCTCTCCTAGGAAGCTTTGGCCTAACCCTGTGTCTGGACAGGCAAAGGAGAAGCGGCTGACCCCTGCCCTCCTCACACACCGCACTGAAAGGTGCCGGTCCAGGGAAGAGTCTCATCTTCTGGTCTTTATTCTGCTTTCAGCATTTCCGGGTCTCCGCTTGCTATGACCGGGCCTGCCTCACAGGGCTGTCTCGGGCACAGAGAGGCCTTGCCTTTGTCACCAGTGGTACCTCAGTTTCCTCATCTGATTGACAGTTTTTCTAATTTCAGGATAGTGTTAATATTTAGGGTATCTATATTTTTTCAAAGCTATTTTTCAATAGTTTGTAACTCGTAACCTGTTTGCAATAGATACCGTCACAACTATCATAAACTTTGGATTTTAACAGAATTTGGGAGACACGTGCATCGTCTTTATTTATTTTTTTTTTTGAGACGCGTATACTGTCTGTCTGTCCGTCTGTCAACAGAGAAGTCTGTCTAGATGACAGACGGTTTTACTTATGTGCCGTTGGGCTGTGTGGAGATTTGGGCAAGTGCTTTGTAAGTGGGAGGTGATTGTGACCATGTGATGAAAGGCAGGGGACACAGCGTGTGGAACATAAATGTGAAAACAGCATTCCTTTCTCAGCTGCGTGTGTGGTGGCAGATGCCTGTAATCGCCACAGCCTGGAAGGCTGAGGCAGGCAGATCACAAATTTAAGCCTAGCTTGGGTAGTTTAGTGGAGAAGGGTACACACACACATACAAAAACAGCAGCCCATCTATTTCTTTTTGGGGGGTACCAAGGGTCAAACTCAGGTCCTTGTGCTTGTGAGGCAGGTGGTGGAACCACTGAGCTGAATCCCAGGCCCCTATCTATTTCTTAATTAGTACAAAATGGACCAGGCTAGGAAGACTCTTTCAGGGGCTGGGATTTAGCTCAGTGGTACCGTGCCTACCCAGCAGGCTTGAGGTCCCAAGTTCTATCCCTGGTACCGAGGGGGTGAAAAAAAAGGCTTGAAAGAAATGCTGATGGTTCCACAGTGACAGGCTGAAGTCCTAACCCACTATCTTTGCAGTCAAGCTTCGTTCTTCCTTCTAGAGGAAGTAAGAGAAAAAAGCACAGAGACCTGGAGGGGACACGCCAGTATCTCACGGGGACATGATACTGCTCTAACCAAACAAGGTAACCAGAGGACCACAAGGAGTCCCCAAGGGACCATGGCTCTCAGAAGTCACCGAGGCCCAGGTTGCAGGCAGACTTTGGCAGGAGGCTGTTGACTAGATGTCTAGTAACAGCTATGTCCCTGGACAAGGTCCTAGGAGGCTCTAAACCTGCCCTTCCCATAGAATTAAGCTGTAGGTTCACTGATTTCCATCGTGGAAAAAAAAAAAATCAGGACTCATCAGTAAGAGGCAAGAAAGGATTTCCTAGACAGGCATTTAAAAAGTACAAACTCAAGGGCCAGGGATTTAGCTCAGTGATTCCACGGTCTCTCTTGCAAGTGCAAGGTCCCGTGTTCGATCCCCAGTACCACAAAAAAGTACACACTCAAAAGAATAAGAGAGAAAGAGGGAGAGGCACCTTGTATGGAGCTGGAGATATCTGGGGTGCCCAGGGTGTCTTCAGGGTGGGTGGGTGACCGGGAACGTATGTCAGCTCCCCCTCTGGCTGTGTCACAAGCCACTCACACTGGCTTGAAGTTGAGATCCCTGGCTCCTGAGGGTGGAGTCCGTGGGAGGAAGGTGAAAAGCACAGGTCCAGAGCCCAGTTTACAGGCTTTCTGTGTCTTTCAGAACTTTAGGAATTTTTTAAAAGTGAGTTTCCTAAAAGAGGCAAAAGGCTGAAGTAATGTTGCGTCCCCAACCTGCAGTTTTGCAAAAAGAGTTCCAAAATTCTGATTTTCCTTGTCTCTTTTTCCCCCGTCTTTATTTCTTCCATTCTGCCTCATATGTCAAGGAAATAAATGAGTGGCGCTGCTCTGCTTAGGCATTTTTGATCCCAAGAACGAGGAAGGGCGCGGCCGCTGACCCCAGGGACCCGGTGAGGAGTGGCTGAGGAGAGCACAGCCCTTCCTGCGGTTCACCTCCGCACCAAGTCCACCGGGAGACGTGAACACAGCTGCACCAGCCGAGCCAGGGAGCTCTCAACATTAACCTCTACTTGCTCCACATTGGCCCCAGCACAGGCAGGCTCCCTCCAGGGAAGAGCTTCTCCCTTCCCAGCCACCGTGGAAGAGTCCTCAGGGCTTCCCGCAGGCCCAAGAGAAGCGAGTGCCCATCCCTGACCCCACCACTGCACACAGGAGAGGCAGGGACCGCTCCTGCGCCCTCTTCCAGAGCTGGGGCCGGGGGAGTCGGTCCTGTTCAGCCCCCGAGGTGATTCCACAACCTACGTCCAGGGTGCTGTTCACAGGTGGCCAACATGATAAAAATGAAGCAGTCGGAGAGGGACAGGGCTCACAGAGAAGTCAGCACAAAAATAAAGACATCAAAACTGGCTGGAGGCGCAACTAAAGAAGGCCAGGCCTCAAGATAAAGACACAACCCGGGGTGGTGGTACAGTACCTACACTGTATGGACAATGCCTACAATCCCAGCACTTGGGAGGCTGAGGCAGGGGGATGGCTACAAGTTCAAGGCCACCTTGGTCTGCAATAGTGAGTTCAAGACCAGCCTGAATTACACAGCGAGACATTGTCTCAAAAAAATAAAAAAAGATAAAAGATGTAATGGCCAGGAACTACTTGCTTCTCTAAAGAATAAACAGTAACCAGTGCCTGTCTGGCAACCATGGTCCTGAGTTTGATCCCCGGTACAAAAATAAATAGATAGATAAATAGTAGCTTAAAATTACACTGTAATTTGTACCACCTGGTCCAGGAAGTCCAGATAGGCACCAATCGCCCAGGGAGGTGACCAGGGCACCTGGATCCATCCCTTCCCCAGAATGCCTCTGTTCTTTCCACGCCCCCATGGGATGTGACTCGTTTCCCTATTGGATCAGTATCACCTAAGCGGCTGCACTTGCAACCCTATAGGTCGATTGCAGTTGGGCCCATTGTGACTTTGCTGTCTAAATTGCCCCTGACAAAGGACTGCCACCCCACTGGGGACCCCTGCTGGAAATCCAGGAGCTATTTTTCTCTGCTTGTTTCCAATAAAACTCTCCTAACTTCTTCCTTGGGTTCGAAACTTCATTCCTCAACGTTGTGGGACCGCAGACGTAGCGCATTTTTCATCTCACAGGTCAGGAGTTGTTTTTCTCCTGTATCACCATGAGCTAAAGAAGCCACGCTAGGGAGGCAAAAACAATAGTTGTCCCTAGTAGGGCAATTACCTGAAACACCAAAATAGTCTAAGACCAAAATACTCTTCTATGGTTTGCTTCAAAATTATATTTTGCTTAGTTCTCGTTGACTTCCTGCACACCAGGTAAAAATGCTTCATGGGAGGTAGAAGCAGGTGGCAGAGATGTAAACAGTGCTGAGAAAAATCCAAATGTCATCAGATAAAATGATTCGTAAGCCACCCAAGAACATCAGTCCTATTGTTGTACATAGTTACATACTGCTCTGTCTAAAACTAAGCTGGAGCTCTATGAGGGTCAGCATCTGTATTATTCTTTACTGTTCTCAGTGCAACCTACATGAGAGGTGCTTAGTAAATATCTGTTAAATAGCAAATGATTAAACTGGATTGGGGGGATTGTTTCTCACATCACAGGCCACCCAACATCCTCTTAATCTGATGCCTGAAATGTCAACATTAGCTGCTGATTCCTTTGACATCAGTCCTACTTCCTGGTCAAAATGCAAACACTCCTGAGAGAGATCGCATTTTAAGTCTCCTATGTCATTCACATCTTGTTCTGAGTGGGTTTGGTTTGATTTGGTTTGGTTTCTGCCGCATGGGGAATTGAACCCAGGATACTTTTCCACTGAACTACATCCTCAGCACTTTTTTTTTTTTTTAATTCGGAGACAGGATGTCACTAAATTGATTAGGCTGATGTTGAATTTCCCTGCTTTAGCCTCCCTAGTATTTGGGATTACAGGTGTGTGTCACCTGCCTGGTGTGAGCTGACTTTTGAGATCTGTCCCAGAGGGGGTTAAAAATGAAGGGCGAAGTGCACAGCGGTCTTGGGGCAGGAAACCATTTTTCTGTCAGTCTTGCTTGGGGTGATCTAGGCTCACGGGGAGACCAGTGCTCTGGCCAGCCTGGCTGTGGGTGCTGAGAAAGGAGCACTATTTGTTTTGCCCTCAAATCCTGAGAGAGCTGTGGGAACTCCAGAGTGGAAACTGTGGTTCTCTGAGACTCTGCAAGGAGGAGGAGGCGAGGATAAATGTATTGTGCGCCTCATGGTGAAAGGGGGTCAGGAGAATAA